TAAATAAGCTGAATAATGGTTACTTGAACTTAAGCCCTGTAATGCAACCGTTAATGAATTAAGAGTCCAAGGAAGTAAAGGTCAGAGACCCTGTAGCAGAGCCTCTTAACTTTTTTCCTCTTCACTCTTTTTGCCCAAAACATTTTTTGTGACACCAGATATATAGGTATACAAAATAGGTAAATAAACTGAGGCAGGTGAGCACAGGAGCTAGTTTAGCCTGGAACCCTATTTGGTTTGGTTATATACACCCTCCCTCTTGTGATGATGCACTCAGCAGCCTAGTTTCTTCAACTACATAGGTGTACACACATACCCTCTCCAAAAGATGTACCTAAGCAACTTCAGAACTTTCTCAAGCCCTGACCTGCACCAGGCTACACATTCTCCCATCCCTCACTAATGATGTTTCCCCATCCCTAGAAACAACTAAATTCAGACAGTTCCTACTCAAGTATATTCCCAATGTATCTGGATATGAAGAATAAAAGGGCCAATCCAGTATGAACTTGTTTTAGGTATACACACAGTAAGACAAAACTAGGTCCTCTACTAACCTTTTATAGTTGATCCTCTATTTACCATCTTATGGCTATGCATAGTTGTGCTTACATATGATTAAAATAAGGTGCATTGTGAAAACGGATGGGTGCAATAGGAAAAATGAATAAGACCTAATCTACCAGTCAAAATAGAACATCACTCAAACTACACCCCTTAATAACCAACCCTTCCTTCCTTTAGACCCCACAAAAGGAAACCCCACAAAAATAACCTGGGCCCTTGAGTACTCTCATGGGTGGGTGTGGCATACTGTCAAACTTGACTGTGTGTTCCTCTGTAATTTGTACTATTGCTTTGCTCCAAATAAAATTTTTCTACTTTTTTTTGCAAATCTGTGTGAGCCCTTATTTCCAATTCTTCAGGTCAAGAACATGAAGACACTTGACCCAGACCCTGACCACCTGGGATACTGTTTCTGGGGGACATGAGTAAATGTCTACTCACGCCAGATAGGGAACCAACCAAAGACCAAAGTAAGGATACTGCCAAAGTCTAACTTCGTGAACCAATGAGTTTTATTGGTGTTACTTACAGGAGTGTGGGTGAGGATTCACAGGAGCAAAAATGAATGAAAGAAAACTGCATCACCAAATCCCATCCCAGCACAGATGATAGTTCACAAAAGCTAGAAACCTGGAGCTCACTGCACAGTTTATAGGCACCTCAAGAGGTTGGAGGGTGTCTCTTGCAGGCAGTTCAGATAGCCCAGCCTCTACCAGGTAGCTTGACTTAGCTGAGAGTGTTTCTCAGACATTCTTACTGCTGATTTATGCTTGGAGAGGGGACCTAGTGAATCTTGTAGGTTTCTGAGACTTCCTAACCCTACTGAGTTATTTACTTCCTGAGTTTCAAGGAGCTCCCCTGAAGGATGGGACATTTCACCTACTTTTAGAAGATCTTGTGTGGTAATGAGCTTCCCTCCAAGATGGAAGATTTTCTCTCAGAGGAAATGGCTACACAACACTATAGGTGACAAAATAAAACATTTACTGATAATAAATCATAAAAGAAGTTCATCTTAAAAGCAATTCTTTAATGTAGAATGTGGTGGTACATGCCTGTAATCCCAGGATAAGGGAGGTGGAGGCAGGCAGGAGGGTCAAAAAGTCAAGGTCATCCTTGGACTACATGGCAAGTTCAAGACCATTCTGGACTACTTGAGATGCTATCTCAAAAAAACAAAACAAACCAAACCAAAAACCAATTCTTTGTTATACATATAATTTAATCATTCATTAAAGACAAAAGCAAATGTACATACTAATGAGGTAGATGTAATAGCCTATTTTCACATAAAGAATTAAGTCTTTGGTGAATACTTGATACTGCAAAACATGGACCATTGTCAAAATTTTTCATAGTTGATCAGTATTTTGACTTTATAATCAGGCTGAGAATGATATTTCAAATAAATACATAGCACTAAGTGGCAGAAGTATGCCAGCTCCAAACCTGTTAGAAATTCTGTGCTAATCACAAGCCAAAATTTGCTAAATGATATTGTATGAAACTGAAGTCATCAACTCAAACAGCAATTTTTAAAATCATTCTAACACCATAGTTGATCAGTATTTTGACTTTATAATCAGGCTGAGAATGATATTTCAAATAAATACATAGCACTAAGTGGCAGAAGTATGCCAGCTCCAAACCTGTTAGAAATTCTGTGCTAATCACAAGCCAAAATTTGCTAAATGATATTGTATGAAACTGAAGTCATCAACTCCAACAGCAATTTTTAACATCATTCTAAGACAATATAATACAAAGATGTACTAATTTGATACTTATGTACTGAAGAATGAAAATATTAAAAGCCTTTGTTTTCCATAATCAAACTATCATGCAGAAAACTTTTATGCATGGTTAAAATACTGCAATTCATAGGACACAGTCATCTCAAATCTGAATCTG